TAATTCAACACATTTTAGAGGCTTAGTCCACCTTTTCCTCTTACTCTTTGCAAAAGGTAGTAATTGCAGGTTACACTTACTATATCTATTGATCAATGTGCCTTTACTAATTATTTACAATGAAGCCTGAAGAGTATGGATGAGCACTGGTTCAGACCAAACCTGGAAGCAAGCTATCTTTTATTATTATTATTATACAGTATTTATAAAGCGCCAATAGTTCGCTCAGCGCTGTACATTACAAAGGGGGACATAAAAAAAGAAACATGTGGCAGAAACAATACCAATACAATGCAAAACATGAGGGGATCGAGGGCCCTGCTCTTTCAAGCTTACAATCTAGGAGGGAGGGAGGGGATGGGTGGCACAGGAGGAGATAGCTGTGGGGGATGGAGTGGTAGGAAGAGTGGAGGAGGTCGGCAAGTTAGCAGGGGGCGGGGTAGGCTTCCCTGAAGAGATGGGTTTTTCAGGGTGCGCCTAAAGGAGAGAAGAGTAGGTGATAATCTGATGGGTTGGGGCATGGGTGAGTAGTTCCAGAGGATGGGTGACACCCTGGAGAAGTCCTGGAGGCGGGGGGCATGGGAGGAGGAGACCAGGGAACTAGAGAGAAGGAGGTCTTGTGAGGGAGTGGAGTGGTGCGTGCTGTGGCGGTACTTGGATATTAGGTCAGTGATGTAGTTCGGGGCAGTATGGTGGACAGCTTTGTACGTCAGCGTTAGGATTTTGAATTTGATCCGTTGCGCAATCGGAAGCCAGTGGAGGGATTGGCAGAGGGGGGGTGGCGGAAACGGAGCGGTTGGAAAGGTGAATGAGTCTGGCAGCCGTATTCAGGATGGACTGAAGCGGGGATAGCCAGCGGCGAGGGCAGGCCAGTGAGGAGGGAGTTGCAGTAGTCGAGTCGTGATATGAAGAGGGAGTGGATGAGCTGTTTAGTGGTTTCTAGAGTTAGGAACGTGCAGATTTTGGCGATGTTGCGGAGGTGGAGTCTGCACGAGTTTGTTAAAGAGTGGACTTGGGGCTGGAAGGATATGTTGGAGTCCAAAATGACACCAAGTACTCTGGCCTGCAGGGCGGGTTTGATGGTGGCGTTGTTGGGACATGATGGAGAAGTCAATGGGGGGTGGTGTCCGGGCTGGAGGGAAGACAAGAAACTCGGTTTTGGAGAGGTTCAGTTTAAGGAAGTGGAGCGACATCCAGTCTGATATGTCGCTCAACAGGTGTGTGATTCGGGCGGGAGACCGAGGGGGTGAGGTGGGGGTTTGAGAGATAGATTTGTGTGTCGTCGCATAGAGATGGTAGTTGAAGCCGTGAGAGTGTATGAGTTGGCCAAGGGAGAGGTGTTGATGGAGAAGAGAAGGGGCCCGAGGACAGAGCCTTGGGGACCCCAACAGAGAGGGGAGTGAGAGGGAGGTGGTGGCATTATAGGTAACGCTGAAAGAGCGTTGTGACAGGTAGGATGAGAGCCAGGAGAGAGCAGAATCTCTGAGGCCGATGGGAGTGTAGTTTTTTGAGGAGGAGGGGGTGGTCGACTGTGTCAAAGGGCCGCAGAGAGGTCAAGGAGTAGGAGCACTGAATAGTGGCCATTAGCTTTGGCGGTTAGCAGGTCGTTGGAGAGTTTGAGTAAGGCAGTTTCGGTGGAGTGTAGGGGACGGAAGCCAGACTGTAGGGGATCGAGGAGGTTGTTGTCGTTGAGGTGAGAGCATAGGCGGGCGTAGACTAGGCGCTCAAGGAGTGTTTAGATGTAAATGGGAGCAGGGAGATGGGTCTGAGGTTGTTCGGGTCATTGGGGTCCAGGGAGGGCTTTTTAAGTATGGGGGTGATGTGTGCATGTTTCAGAGGGGAAGGGAAAGTGCCGGAGGAGAGGGAGAGATTAAAGATGTGGGTGAGGGAGCGTAGGATGGAGGGGGAGGGAGGTTGTAGGAGTTGTGAGGGGATAGGGTCAAGGGGGCAAAGGTGGTGAGGCGGGGCAATCAGAGAGGATCTTGGAGACTTCTTCGATGGTAGTAAGGTCAAAGGTGTGCGGAGTGTTGGGGGAGCTTCAGTATGAGAATGTAGGGTGGGGTGGGTAGAGAGGAGGTCAGAGCAGTGGTGGGGGCCGTGGGAGAGGGGTGTAGAGGGGGTAGCTGAGTGTGAGGGGAAGGGGGTTGGAGGGAGTTTGAGCAGCGACGAAGTCCTGTGGGTTATGTCGAGGGGGAGGGGGGATGAGGGGGTAGCTGTGTGAGAGGGGACGGTTGAGAAGGCGTGTGAGTTGCCGGCAATGTCCTTGCGAATTTGTTCAATCTTGTTTTTGAAGTGAATTGGCAATCTCAAGGGCAGTGAGTGAGGTGCTGGGCGGAGGTGGGGGGGTGGCGAGAGTAGAGAGTTGAAGGTGGAGAAGAGTTGGCGAGGATTGGAGGAGAGGGCCTTGATGAGGGTCAGGAAGTAGGCTTGTTTTGGCAGTATGGAGGGAGGAGGTGTAGGTGTGGAAGGCATATTTGTATCGGGTGAAGGCTTGTTAGGATTTGGTTTTGCGCCATAGTCGCTCCAGGGCACGACTGTGTCGTTTGAGGGTTTTGGTGTGATCAGTCTGCCAGGGCTGGAGCGGTCGGGGTCTGATGTTGCGTGTGGTTAAAGGCGCTAGTGAGTCAAGGGCTGTTGACAGCGCATTGTTGTAGGCGGTCATAGCCAAGTCCGGGGCAGACAGGGGGAGGATGCGGTCATGGAGTTGATCAACTGCGGAGTGGAGGGAGGCAGGGTTAAGGTTGCGGAGGTTACGGCTGGTAGTAGTGTGACATTTGGAGGGGTAGGCGTTGGAGGACGAGGAGATAGAGAAGGTAATCAGGTTGTGGTCAGAGAGAGGGAAGGGGGTGTTAGTGAGGTTGTGGGGAGCGCAGCGGTTGGAGAAGACAAGATCAAGGATATTACCGTTGGAGTGGGTGGTGGGATTGTATGCACTGTACAAGTGCAAAGGAGGAGGTTAAGTGGAGGAGACGGGCTGTGTCCGGGTTGTCGAGGTTGACAGGGATGTTGAAATCCCCAAGGATGATAGTGGGTAGCTCAGAGGAGAGGAAGAAGGGTAGCCAGGAGGAGAAGTCTTCCAGGAAGTGGGGTATGGATCCAGGAGGCCGGTATATCACAGCAATCTTCAGGGGGGTGTTGGGGAGAATAGTCGGACGCAGTGGGCCTCGAAGGAGGAGAAGGATAGGGAGGGGGGGGTTTGGGAGGACTCGGAAGGTGCTCAGCGGTGACAGGAGCAGGCCAACCCCACCACCTTTACGACCGTTGGGCCTGGGTGAGTGGGTCCAGGTGAGACCGCCGTAGGAGAGTGCAGCAGGGGAGGTAGAGTCAGTGGGCTGGATCCAGGTTTCCGTAATCGCCAGGAGGTTGAGGGAGTGGGAAATAAAGAGGTCGTGGATGGCGGTAAGCTTGTTGCACACCGATCGGGCGTTCAGGAGTGCACATGAAAACGGGGGGAAGATTTTAGGGAGCAGGGGGACAGATTACTAAGTTGCGGGGGTTGCGGCAGGACGTGGAGGTGGGAGGGTTTTGTGCGGGTCAGGGAGGTGGTGGAGGGCCAGGATTCGGGGAGATGTCCCCCGCGGTTATGAGGAGGAGAAGGGTGAGAAAGGTGGCATGGGAGCGGGATGTGCAGGAGCGTGAGAAACTACTAGTGGAGGTGTTCGGGTCAGTGGGAGAGCGGACAGTAATAGGAGGAGGGTGGGTGGGTGCCATAGAGGGGGGTGAGGGAAGCAGTGAGGGCACAATATACAAATGTTTGGGAGGAGCAGAGGGATATAGTGAATGGAGTTTGGGAACAGAGGAGAGGAAAATGAGAAGGAGGAGTGGAAGAGGCATTTTGGGGAGGTGATGAAAGCAATAGTAGGGAGATGATAGCAATGAGGGGTAGATGTACAAGTTTTGGGGTGGAGCAGAGGGGTAAAGAAATGAGATTTGGGAACAGAGGATAGTAATATGAAGAGGAGAAAGAGGGGTGTATTATATAAAAGGTACACGGAGTGGGACTCAGGTATGTAAGAGATGTTTCCCAGGGTGTTTGCTTGCAGTCTGTCCAGCATGCAGTAGAGTTTCTTGCTGTTGTTGTGTCTTCCTGCTGCTTAAGTTCTCCTGCTTTAGTTCAACTGCTGTGTTTAACTGCTCTGCACTCCTTCAAAGCCGCACTCCATCATAAGCAGCACCCCCATCAGAGACTGTGCCCCCCATCTTTCCCACCAAATCAGCACTCAAACAACCTTAGCCAGGGCATTGCCTTTCCTACAGCTGCATGTAACCAAGTGGTGGGCATGCTCATGGAATTATTGGACTAAAGAGGTCATTCTTGGGTGTATTTGACCAAACTGAGGTGTAACACGAAGTATGGTCTTTAAGGTGGACTTGAAAAGAGAAGCATTCCTACATGCCGTACCATTACACGGGAGACTCACACTGCATTCATCACATCTGGCGATTCCGATGGCCTATGATTTATTAATATAAGGACTGTAGTGCATGGTGTGCCCGCAGCAGAAGGACTATATTACAATATATTGAATCCAAGTGCACACTGCCCGGCTGATGTCGGATATTTCTGGGGGAATGGATGCTTTTGGATTTAACACCTTATGGAACATTAAGCGCTACTTTAATGATTATTTCTGTTCTGCGCAGACAGCAGATTTCCTTTGCTGAAGTTATATAGACCTACAGAGGAAGTGGTTTCAAACATATTAAGATATCACTATTTTTTATTTATACACTTTCAATAATATATGTACAATTATTATACTGGTAGCTATTTGCAAGAGGACTGTCCATGAGCTACCCACATGAAAGAAAAATATATTTTAAATATATTTTATAAATACATTCTTACATTCCTGTTGTGTCTCCCTTGTTGCACCCAAAAAGAAAGTTTTACTTTACATATATGTTGGGACATTTAAAAACATTACTAAAACTGCAGCATGCAAAATCTGGTGCAGCTCTGCAGAGAAACCAGCTTCAAAGGCTTTTTTTTGTGTTAAAGCTTAACCTCCCTGGCGGTATTCCTGAGTGTAGCTCGGGGTAAAGTTTCAGTACCACAAGTGGTAACCCCGAGCTACACTCGGGAATACACTGCAGTGCTGCTCGGGGATCTGTTCTTCACTAACCTTGTCCTGCGCTCCCGCGATGTCCCTCCTGCAGTGTACCCTGTAATGTCCTCCGGCTGATGCCGGCATCTCTCATCTGGGTTCCGTCCCCTGCGAGCGTCGGGACGTACGGGGGACGGAACTGGTGGGAAATTTGAAAATGACAAAAAGTGACATTCACTAAAAATTCACTAAAATCACATAGTATAACATTCCTGTATCAAACCATTTCACATACATTTTGTCCCGAGTGCTTTGTCCGGCGCCCTGCCTGCATTTTTACTGTTCTTTCTGCCTGGAAACTAAGAAACGGCCATGGCGTCCAAAAAGCGTCCCTTTAGGTCAAAAGTGGTTTTAGACCGGCTAGAGAACAGCGATAGTAAATTAGAACCACTTGCAGAATTCAGTGATAATGATTTGTGGGGGAAATTCGTCATCAGACACTGAAAACAATTCTTCGACTTTGCTCAGCAATGTGCGAACTTGGCGCTATATTTCACATTTCAGTGTTTTTGGTTTGATTATATTATTGTATTAAATTTTTATTATTATTATAATTTTTTATTTTTTATGATTATTTATTAAATTATAATTTATGATTTTGTGTTTCAAATTTTATCATCCCCGGGATGTTTACTAGACTCTTGTTCGGACATATTTCAGTGAGTTATTCCTAAAAATTACAGGCCTACAATAAAAAAAAAAAATGACATATTTCCATGCAAAAAAATCTACCGCTTTGAGCACAGAAATATGGACATAGGTGTCCGTTTATGAACCAGCGGTAATAGATCCCTGCTCAGTAAAATTTCTCCGGCATTCTCGGAGAACACAGTTCTCCTGAGAATGCAGTTTATGAAGCAGTTCTCCGAACGAAGGGAGAATGCTCTCCAAACGCTGGAGAACGGTCTACAAACTCTGGAAAACGGCTGATTTTACAATAATCTCGCGAGATTACAGTAAAAAGATCAGTTTACTAAGCAGAGGTAAATTATCTCTGCTTAGTTTTTCCTCTGGGCTCTGGGCTGGAGAATCTGGAGGGAGAACACAGATCTCCAGTGAAGGGCTGACATGATCTCCTGAGTGTCATAAACTGTGAATGACCAGAGAATAGCTGAGATCTGTTGAATCGCAGCTATTCTCTATGTCATAAACGGACACCATAATCAGACCACTAGGGAGGTTAATTGAACAAGCTGCAGTAAGAAGCTGATTGGCCACCATGCACAGCTGCACCAGATTCTGCACTCTCCAGTTTTAGTAAATCAACCCCACAATGTCATGGGGGAGAACATGGATAAGGTATATGTATGAAACAAAAAAAAAATGTCCCTGTGTACTTACATACAGGTGGGACTCCCAGGGTTCCTCCAACATTCTGGAGTTGTGGACTGACACCTAGTACCCTTTCCCACATTTGGTGGAAGGGCCCACTTATTGAATCCTATGGGAAAAAGACCACCAACCCCAGAAAAAACGTCACTACCATGAACCATCCACAGAGCCCCTATCACGTACCTGGTGTTTAGAGGCCAATGGAGAGAGGGCTTCCCTTGCGGCTAAGTTCCAGACTCCCCTGAGAGTGGGACAGCAGGAGTGAGGCCTAAAGTGGCACATGTTGGCTGTAGGAGTGCACGTTGGTGGTCCACCCAGGAGCACAGCTGATGCACTGATATGGCGTCTGCAGACAGGTGGTGCCTGGTATGCAAGCCATCTGGGAAACAGAGGATCATAGGATAGCTGGTTCAAAGCTGAGGTCAGGTATCAGGTGGAGATCAGAGCAGACATAGTCTGATCTATGCTTGAATAGCTGCATTGGAAGGCAGGGGGGCCTAATAGACTCCTATTGTTTCCATAAACATGACCTGTCACCTGCCCATGTGAGCTTGTAAGCCTCTTGTGACAGTATTAAAGTAAAAAAAAAATAAACATAAAATTAATGAAATAATGAAAAAAAAAACCCTCCACAGTCCTCATATTAAAAAAAAATGCAGCATAGTATGAGCACATGTATGTTAACATCAATTGTGCCACACAGGGTGCGGTACCATCATGAATGTTGGAATGAGAGCCGTAGTTCTTGAGCAGCACAGTGGTAAATGGTTAGCAGTTCTGCCTGGCAGTAATTGGGTCGTTGGTTCAAATCCCAACCATGGCACTACCTGCCTGGGGTTTGCATGTTCTCCCTGTGCCTGCGTGGGTTTCCTCCGGGTCCTCTGGTTTTCTCCCACACTCCAAAGACATGCTGGTAGGTTAATTGGCTCCTGTCTAAATTGTCCCTAGTATGTGTATGTATGAATGTGAGTTAGGGACCTTAGATTGTACCCCCCTTGAGGTTAGGGACTGATGTGAATGTACAATATATATGTAAAGCGCTGCGTAAATTGACGGCACTATATAAGTACCTGAAATAAATAAATAATTCTAGGGCTGTAGTTGACTGTTAACTCTCAACTGGTAATCTTTAAAGGCTTTTAAAGGATCACCAACGGAATATTTTGTGTATCAGTTTTTCCTGAGGTTGCACAGCTGTAAGCCTCAACATGTTTGGAATCTATAAACACAACACAACCCAATCTTATATTTTTATAGGAAAAATTGGGTATGTTATTGTGTTCATTTGCACTAAAATTCATATTAGTGTAGGTTTTTTTTCTGAAAATATTCATGTAATAAGTAGCTGCACATACTTCACGCAACATAAAAAATTGCAACTACCACTATGTAGCCTCCCTAGCGGTCTGATTATGTCCATATTTCTGTGCTCAAAGTGGTAAATTTTTTTTGCATGGAAATATGTCGTTTTTTTTATTGTAGGCCTGTAATTTTTAGGAATAACTCTCTGAAATCTGTCCGAACAAGAGTCTAGTAAACATCCCGGGTGTGATCAAATTTGAAGAACGAAATCATAAATTAATAATTTAATAAATAATCATAAAAAATAATACATTTAATTCAATAATATAATCAAACCAAAAACACTGAAATTTGAAATATAGCGCCAAGTTCGCACATCACTGAGCAAAGTCGCAGAATCGTTTTCAGTGTCTGATGATGAATTTCCCCCACGAATCATTATCACTCAATTCTGCAAGTGGTTCTGATTTACTATCGCTGTTCTCTAGCCGGTCTAAAACCGCTTTTGACCTAAAGGGACGCTTTTTGGACGCCATGGACGTTTCTCAGTTTCCAGGCAGAAAGAACAGTAAAAATGCAGGCAGGGCGCCGGACAAAGCACTCGGGACAAATGTATGTGAAATGGTTTGATACAGTAATGTTATACTATGTGATTTTAGTGTATTTAGTGAATGTCACTTTTTCACATTTTCAAATTTCCCGCCTGTTCCGTCCCCCGTACGTCCCGACGTCACAGGGAATGAAACCCGGAAGACAGATGCCGGCATCGGCCGGAGGACATTGCTGGGGACACTGCAGGGGGGACATCGCGGGAGCGCAGGACAAGGTAGGTGAAGAAGGGATCCCGGAGCAACGCTGCAGGGTATTCCCGAGTGTAGCTCGGGGTTACCGCTTGTGGTGCTAAAACTTTAACCCGAGCTACACTCGGGAATACCGCCAGGGGGGTTAATTCTCCAGGGTCTCTGCTTTCCGAAAAGATATTCTTTTTGGGGGGTTTACAATAATTTCTATTAAAAAAATGCTGATTTTTAACATGTGCAGAAAAGTAAAAAATAAAATGCCCCAGTAGGCAGGTCGTTAATAGGATTAGTAAGAAAAGAAAATGAGGGGGAAAATAAATCAAAAATACACAACAAGGAAACAAGTGAGGCCCAAGAGATGAAACGAGGAGCAGAGGCAAAGGGTTGGGGGCTCGTCCGGGAGAGGATTGCTGTGAGGACTTTATTTTGGATGATAAATGTTCCAGAAAAGGATTTCCCAATCTTTCACTGTAATTACTGTATACCGGATCCACGGACAAAAATCACGTTTTTCATAATAAATTGCCATCCGCCTCTTATTTGCTGCAGTCCCGGACATTCTCCAAAGATCAACAGAAAGGATAAAGAAATTCAGTGAGGCTCTATCTGGGTAATGGAGGGGAAGGAGACATTGTAGAATTGGGGTCACAGCTGGGCATTCAGGGGCGATGGGTGCTGTTGTTGTTATGAATTCTACTATTATTGTTCTCATGCTGCTAAACCAGGAGTTAGTGTTTATTGTCAGGCTTGCCGTGATAAAAATGACCCCTAGATGGGTTCTACCATAGAAGTTACAGGTCAGCTTGGCATGCTGCTGAGGACACACACAGGCCTTTTCAATTATGGATTTCCTGTATACGCTCTTCGTGGTCCTGTTCCCATCCACCCTGGGGTGTTACCACTATTCTTGCAGCAGTTACTTTCATAGAATATGTAGAATTATAGTGTGAACATCCAGCCAGGATGCTAAAACCCTCTTCTAAAGGCCACAGTAGGTGTGCAGACTCCAACAGAGATCACAGTACTCTCCCTGACAATGCCTTCATCATCTTCTTTCTCTCCGGAAGGGCATCATACTGGCTCATAGATGACTCAGTCATGTAAATCCTAGTGTATGTGTTTTGATTGGCTGTGTTCACAAATACTTGACACAGATCAGCCCCTGTAGCAGCCTCTCACCTTATGACTTATAGCTTTACAATGTTGTAGTCCCCATCACTAGGGGGGAGAGGAGATTGACACTCAATGCTTCCTCCTGCCTGCAGCAGACTGATGACATCACCTCAGCCTAGGCAAAGGCACGGAGTGGAGCTCAGGGATAGCTTTCTTATGATAAACGATGGAGCTTTTCTGGAAAATGATATGGTTGCTGTATGTTGTGACATATGTAAGGAATGTATTCATGAGACTTGTAAAGCAACTGATAGGCTCACTTCGAGCTCTCAAATTTAAAAGTTGATATTTCTCCAGAATGAACATCATGTATCAGGTAATATATTCAGTTCCTAGATTGTAAGATGGGTTCATCTTGCCCCAGGCTCTAACACATGCCGTAGCTTAGTGCCATCTGCAGACACAGATACGGCACATTTCATCCTGGCTTTTATATAATTTATAAACAAGTTAATGGCGCTGGTCCCCAGTCAGAAGCTCGGGGTTCACCACCAACAACCTAACACAGTGTTCAAGGCATGAATCATTGATGGCGGCTCTCAGAATGCGGTCTTTCCGTCAGTTCTCTAACCAATTATGGTTTGCGTTTTCCAGACCAATAGACCTTAATTTACACATTAAGTGACTGTCAGGCACCCGGCCAATGGACAAACACTTTTGCAAAACAGAATTTTACTGCCTGCATTTCCTTATCTCTGGATACACTTCCCCATCAGACTGAATTGACTGTTTGATTAGATGGCCAATTCATAACTCTAGTCTGCCCGGTTCTTGTGATGTTTTCCAAAGCAAATTCTAGAAAGTTCAGACTGGCAGGAGTCCAGTAGGGAGATAAATGTCTCTTATTCGGGGCTTCAGACAGTCATATTTGGGAGGATGGTTATCCTGTTGGATGTCAAAGTCCCGTGAGATTTGAATGGCCTTTTTGGTGGAGGATCCTGTAAATATAGTGGGCCTACTTCATTAGGCACACCCATAGTAAGATTGGGAATGGCCTTTTTGATGGAGGATCCTGTAAATATAGTGGGCCTACTTCATTAGGCACACACATACTAAGATTGGAATGGCTTTTTGATGGAGGATCCTGTAAATAAAGGGGGCCTACTTCATTTGGCACACCCATAGTAAGGTAGTGAAGTAGAGAGAGAGCCCTGTTTGAGTAGGTGAAGGACAGGTCTAGCAGTAGGGAGAAGTTCTGGATGAAACAGAGATGTGTAGGGTTTTCTTTACAGGGTATCCACCCCGCTGCATAGTGTCCTAAGCAACCTTTCACCAGCTGCTTTATACTGCAGAGACCCAGGGGAGCATGGAGTCTTCCAGTATTACCAACCCCCATCCAACAGAAACATGCCCCTGGCACTTCTGAACTGTAAGTAGGGTTTCTCAAAAACTGCTGAGTGTTGTCTTCTGCCCAACCATTAATTTGCCTACTAGAACACTGTGTACTTCCCAGCATATATAGTGCCACTGCTATATCTGTCTACTGGCCATGTGCAGTAACTCAAATAAGGCTGGTGCTATGATCCCAGAACTGGGCTTGGGGTACAACATCGTCCGGACAGAAGGTCAAGATGGCCTGGAACATAGCAATGTCTGGACAGAAGGTCAAGATGTAGGACTTGACTATGTATGCGAATGTTGAGCAGTTGGCATGTATGCAGTTCACCAAAATGTTTTTGCTTAGTTTCATATGTATTTGTTCATTTGGTCATATTTATTATTTTGAACCAAATTTGTTTTGTACCTTCGGCATAAATTTCATATATTTTGTTGGTCCAGGTGGATTAAGAAAATGATGAAGTTTTTCCAAAAGATTGCTATATATTTGACATATTATTGAACTGGATGGATTCGAATTGGACAGATTCAATATTTTAGGATGCTAGTCCAACCCTGTGATGGGAGTGACTTTGGGTGGGGGGCCCATGGAACACAGCCCCCTTTGGAGAGGTGGGGAGACCCCTGTCTCAGCTCCCCATATCCCTCTTATGTGAAAGTCACCCTGTGCCTGTTAGGGGTACAGGGTGAAATGTCCTGCCATTGAGTAGACATGTATAGGTGGGGTGTGGGGGGTTGTTCATTGTTTACTGCCAAGTGGTCCCATTGTTCTATTGTGTCATGCTTGAGAGCAAACTATTATGGAATGTATGTGTTTATGTGTATTGGCTTGGTGGGAGGTGTCTGCTGTGTTTCTCTTGTTACTAAATGTTTTGCCCCGTCCTGTGTATATATCTTGTATCTGTGTTAAAATAAAGCAGTCCACTTCCTGTTTTAATACAAGTCTGTCTCGTCTTGTATGGTCAGCGGTGGTGTCCGTGGATCTGTGTCCGGACAGGGAAGCGGGGGGCTAACGGAAATACCCTAGTGCAGTTGGGGTCCGGTTCCGTTACATTGGAACGAAATTCGGATCAAATAAATTAAAAAAATTTAATTATTTTCCCCATGGGCCCGGACTACTATTGCATCATGTGACGTCATCCAAATGAAACAAATGCATTCATTAATTTTGTTATGACTTTTATTTTCGGATTCGTAGACATTCATTACTATGCCCATTCAAAGAATTCTATACTGTACGTTCTAATCTCCGAAAATGAAAATTTTCATCTGAAAAACGAATTGTAACCAAACAAAATGCACATGTCCAATTTTGACTATATTTTGACAAAGGTGGGGAAGAAACACATGGATTTCATACTGTAGAGACAGCAGTTAGATCAAAGGTCTATGTCAGCCATAGAAGAAAGTGTGCCCCATTGCAATGGAAGTTTGCATAGGCAAGTTTTATGTGATGCTCAAGTTCTTGCTGTGGGCTGCAAAACGTCTCCTCTTATGTCATGGAAAAGGGGAGGTGTTCTGTGGTCCTGGCTTAGCAGACAGCACTGCTGCTCCTTAGATACAGTAGAGAAGTGTGCAAGAAATAGACAAGTAAGCTCTTTGACATCACATTCATATGACTAGTGTAGACTCACCAGAACTCAAAGGGTTCTCTGTCTAATCAAAAAGCATACATAGCAAATTTCTCAAAGGAGCCTATAGGTGGTAGGAAATAGGCACACTGCTAACACCAAACCATACAAAAATAATATATTTATTTTTACTCATCAAAAGTTAATTTAATAAATATGAGAAAGCCGATGTCTAGATTAGTGTTTCTTAACCAGGATGCCGTTTGGGTTCCCCTGAGGTGCCGCAAACATGGGACTTGGTTTGCCCTGGATCAGCTTCATGAGTTGGCATGGTGTGGGCTGGATGGCCACCAGTACCATAACAACCAATGATGCTCTAGGGCCAGGACAAATGGTGTCCTTTGTTGCCATGGTGGCCTGCACCACGGAAACACATGACTATGATCCAGGCCAGACGACATGCTGGACCACCCCTTGCATTCATGATGTTATAAGTCCACCTCCTCCAGACCTCCTCCACCTCCTGCCCTCTGCTGAGCTGCTGGAACCAAAAAATAGGGCTCTGATGTAAAGAGGGGACTGTGTGACAAGGTAGGGTAGGGTGGGTCTGTGCGATTGTGGGGCTATGTGGTGATGGGAGGACTATGTGGTGAAGAGGAGAGTCTGAGGTAATAGAGGGACCTATGAATAGTGGGCTTCTGATGCATATGGGCTAATGATGTGAATGGGAGGACTCTCATGTATAGGGGGTCTCTGATGTATAGGGGAGCCTCTGATTTGAAGGGGTGACTCTGATCTGTAGCTAATTTCATCAAGGTGGCTTAATCGCCTCAAACGCAGGTTTCCTATTGATAAGTAGTAAAGGGCCGAACACCCTACCTGTTTGGTTCGCGGTCGCACATTCGAACCTAACGAAAGATCGACCGCGAACTTCGAACTTAATGTAAATCTATGGGAGTCAAACATGTAAATTTAAAAGTGCCCATTTTTGAAGGCTTATTGGCCATTAAAGGGATATGGGGACTCGGGTACTGTTCTGAGGGACATGAATCAGTGAAAAAAGG